AAGGAGGAAGGCTCCAGGATGCAGGAAAAACATAGATTATGTAATATGCTTAAATATTTTATTTAAAAAAATGTTTTACTCATACACATGACAGATTTTCATGGAGCAACTAGGAAAAATAAGGATAGGTATAAAGAAAGTTCTGGTAGTGAAAAAAATGAAGAGATCATTAATATTAGAATGAAATATTATTTAAGAAGGAAAATGCAATACTAGCACATATTTTGGCTTAGCTCTGAATAACAGAATTCTAAATGTGAAAACAGTGAACGTTTAGGTGGGTGAGGAGATAGATGGTTTGGTGCTTCTTGTAGATAGAATAAATAAAACCTAGTCCTTATCCTTGAAAGACTTCCCAGTAATACAGAGAACTTTTATGTAAGCATGACCAATAAACAGTCATTGATTAAGGACCCACTATGACATCAAGATGATGCTAAATGGTGGTGAAGAATATTGGCTGATAAAATACTTAAAACATTTACTACAGGCTCTTTATCTCATGTGTTCTTTGAAATTTGTCCAACCACAATGTGTAGAGTTACTTGGTAAATGTCAAGTTCTATGTGGTTCCTGACAGAAAGCCTGACGTAAGTGTGTTCTCTCTCCAGGGATTTACTGATGGAGACCTATTAAAAATTCAGTTTGGAGGTGCAAATGTCTCTGGATTTCAGATAGTGGACTATGATGATTCCCTGGTATCTAAGTTTATAGAAAGATGGTCAACACTGGAAGAAAAAGAATACCCTGGAGCACACACTACTACAATTAAGGTATATGTCTATCAGAACCTCCACCTGCACCTCCACTTCAACCTCCAGCTCTACCTCCATCTCCGCCTCCACCTCCATCCCCATCTCTACTCCACTTCCACCTGCATCTTCACTTCCATCTCCACCTCCATCTCTAGCTCCACTTCCATCTACATCTCCACTTTTATCTCCACCTCCATCTTCACTTCCATCTCTACCTCCATCTTCATCTCCACCTCCACCTGCACCTCTACTTCACCTCTGTCTCCATCTCCACCTCCATCTCTATCTCCATCTCCATCTCTGCCTCTACCTGCATCTCTATCTCCATCTCTGTCTAATTGCTGGTGAGTAGCCTGTTCTCTGGGACACCTTAGGAAGAAGGTTAAAAAAATCTCAATTTGTTTTGGTAATTAAAAACATAAATATAATGATTTATGCAATCAAACAAAAAGTCTTTGCTAAATGTCGTGTGCACTGCTCTGACATTAAGCGTTACCCAGACTCATCTGTTCTCTGTGGGTTTGGATACGTTGAGGTCTTCACTTGTTTACTCAGTGTATTTTATTGTGTATGCACATACATGTGTACATTTATTCCATGCAAAGGAAGGATTTTTTTCCCTTCTGTTGGTCACCTGATGGAGAGCAGAGATACGAAGAGTGCATGAAGGTGTGAGGGGGATGATATCCCGTTCACATGCTTTATGAAACAGATTTATGAAAATTAAGAGCAAAAGCTGCAGAACACTTTCAGCTGTGCAGTGGTCTTTGTGCTTATCTGCATGTTATAAAGCACCGTGTGCAAGAACCAGTCAGGACAGTGTTATTTCAGTGGCTTTCACGGTTATGTTGTATATCGCGGAGAAGTTTTGTTATTGCTGTTTTCTGCACGTAGGGGAAAAACAGATATAGATGTTTGACTTCAAATTTGTGCCCGGCCATGACACTGGTCCAAGATAAGGATTAGAAGCTATGCCATTTCCCACTTTTGGGTGTGTAAATGGGTCCTATTAAGTCTATGTCAAATTTAGGAAAGCATCCCATAGGATGTTAAAGAATAACCCAGAGTTAATTTTTTCTCAAAACTGGGTGACTCTTTGCTTGGTGACCTTGACTGAGATCCAGTGCGTATAGGTTTCTCCCAGGATTGTGGGCTCGTGGGTGTGTCCTCACGTAACAGGGCTGCTGAGAAGGCGAGGGGACCCCTCCCTTCTGCTGGTGTCAGGGGTCTGACTGCGGACCCCACCCCAGGGGGCTGCAGGCTCCTCGCATTCAGATGCGGTCCCGTGTGAGCTCTCTGATGAGTGCGCGTTGTGCTCATCCTCGGTGGGATGAACGCGCTCATCTGGAATACTCTGAGTCACTGTGGTGCACCCCACGCCCCGCACTGCTGCCTCTGGGAGGAGGAGGAAAGCCATGGAGATGACTTGTTTCCTCGTGGAAGTCGCATCATTATTCAAGCTCACGTGCCCTGCATTAGAACGGCAGGTGGGCTTGGGGGAGGAGAGGTCTTCGGCAGGGTATTCAGCGAGCGTTTTCACCAAGACCCAGCACCAGATTTCATCCGTTGGGGACCTCTCTTTGCTCCCTTCCCAACGCACCATTTCCTTCCATTGTTCCACCCTTTTCGGCTGCTTCTTCCAAATTTCAGAGATCACAATGGTCCTTCCTTGTAGGGCGCTGCAGACAGCACAGGCTTGTACGTTTAAACACATAGGCTCCAATTCACTGTTTGACCGTACACTCAAAAATTAAACAACATTTACAAAGTCTTAGCCCAGCTTTGGAAACGCAGGTGCCCATAGGAGACCTATTTTCTATGGCCTTTGAAGCTCCATAAAAAAGTACGGACAGCCCCGAGGGGAGGGGATGGCTTTGCACAGGAGTTCATCCCAACACAGACACGTACTGTCCGTGCAATACAGGGCCAGGAACTGAAGGGTTTTTTACAAAATCACTCCTGCCTTTGATAATCCACAGTCTAGTGGAGAAGGGAAATGTGTCATTGAGCAAATACACCAGAGAGTGATGCCTGCAAAATAGGGCAGCTCCCACACGTGGTTAGGACAATACCGGGGAAGGGATGGAAAGGCAGGCTTTCAGGAGGGGGGACGCCTGAGCAGGGCTCTGCACGTGGCTGAGCCCGGGGAAGAGTGCGGGAGGGGGCGTGGGCCAGCGCTGCGCGCGCACAGAGACGCAGAGGGCTGTGAGGGCGCGGCAGGTGCGGGGAGTGGGCGGGGGTGGGCGGGGCACCGGGCGGGCGTTGCCAAGGGACAAGGCTTTTCAGCTGTCGTCAGATGTCAGAGAATAATCCCGAGACAGGACGCCCATGATTGCTTCTTTCACGACTGTTCTGCGGGCAGGAGAAAGGAAGAACAAACTAGATAGGGGGCCAAACAGCGTTTCCTAACATAAGCAAGTAGCGAATATGGTCTGTTTAAGGAAAGGGAGCGAAAATATCTCTAATTTATTTTTCAATTGTCTTTTGGGTCACTGGCTCTACCATTGCCAGATTTTTTGGGGGGAGTGGGGGATATTTATTTGCTTTATTGAAGTGGAGTTGACTTACAATGCTGTGTTAGTTTCTGGTGTACTGCATAGGGATTCGGTTATACACCCACACATACACGCTCCTTTTCGTATTCTTTTTCATTATAGGTTACAAGATACTGAATATAGTTCCCTGTGCTGTACAGTAGGACCTTGTTATTTATCTATTCTATATATAGTAGTTTGTATATGTGAATCCCAAACTCCTAATTTATCCCTCCCCCTTCCTCTTTGGTAACCTTAAGTTTGTCTTCTGTGTCTGTGGGTCTGTTTCTGTTTTGTAAATAAGCTCATTTGTGCCATTGTTTTAGATTCCACATGTAAGTGATACCATGTGGTATTGGTCTTTCTCTGTCTGACTTACTTCACTTAGTACGATAATCTCTAGCTCCATCCATATTGCTGCAAATGTATTGCCGGATAATTTCTTTATTTATGTATATTTTATTGAAGTACAGTCAGTTGACAATGTTGTGTCAATTTCTGGTGTCCAGCACAATGCTTCAGTCATACAGGAACATACATAATTTGGTCTTCATATTCTTTTTCACCATAAGTTACTGCAAGATATTGAATATAGTTCCCTTTGCTATACAGTATAAACTTGTTTATTTTATATATATATTAGTATCTTCTAGATAATTTAAATCATTTTTTATACTATAATAGAAACTTAAGCTATAGGCCTGGAAACCTGTAAAAATACAACTCATTGCATCCAATTCTCTCCATGGTGAGGCTTTAAATCAGCACTAATTTGATAATTCGGGGCAACATTCATTTATTCATTCGTTTATCAATTCAACGCACAGTACCTGAGTTTTTACCCTGCAAGCGGGCACTGTTCAAAGTGTCAGGGAAAAGGCCGAGTTCCAGTCTTTAAGGAGTTTACAGTCTTGAGGCTAGAAATCAGCTTGTCACTTTGATGGAAACTGTCCTTTGACACCTTGGTGTTGATGCATTCTAAATTTCTGGTTCCCACCATTGCTCCCTCTTCAGCCCCTGAAAAACGATTCCTGCAACGATCTTTTCATCTCAGTTGATGGCAACCATATCTTCTGTTGGTCATTTGACTAAAACCTTGGAAACGTCCTTGACTCCTCTGTTTCCCAGTAGCCCACATCCAGTCTGCCAGGACATCTCACTTCCTTTTCCACAACTTCCCTAAATCCATCCACCACCATCTTGCTGCTGGAATTCCTGCAGTGGTCTAGACTGGTTTTCCTGCCTCCACACTTGCCAGTCTATCTTCCATGTTTGTGATCCTTTTAAAACTTAAGTTAGATTATGTCCCTGTTTCTCTCCAAGCCCTCCAGTGGCCCAGGTGCCACTTGGAGAAAAGCCAAACTCATCCCAGTGGCCTATGAGGCCCTATATCCTGTCACCTGTCACTTGTGACATCCTCTCTGGGCGTTCTCCCCTGCCCCGTCTGGTGCAGCTACCATGGTCTTTCTTCCTTTTCTTAGGCACAAGAGACACCTTCCCACCCCAGGGCCTTTGCGCTGGCGGTTTCCTCTTCTGGATTTGTCTCCCCTTAACATAGATGTGGTTAAGCTGCCTGCTTTCTTTAGGTCTTTGATAAATGCTATCTTCTCAAGGAGGTCAAGAGCAGGCTCTCTATTTAAAACTACAGTCTCCACCCATCGAGGTGTGTCTCATCACCCTTTCCCTGCTCCAGTTTTTTTGTTTTGTTTATTTTTCTGTTACACCTCCTAGTGTGTTGTATTTATAA